TGAAACTTTCAGAATAAACTAGTCATATTGAAAGTATCATTTGTGCAAAGTTTCGAGTCAAAAGTCAACTTTCAATATGATCTGTGCAGGACTAACGAGTTTTGAAAAATTAAAATAAAAAGTCTATTTTGTTTTTTAGAAACCTTACTAGTAAAAAGGGCAAGATAAGCACAGATAATCAGTATGAAATACGAAGTATAATTACACATAATAGCAAGTTATTAGCTACAATAATTGTAGGAATTGCTCCTGGTCCCTTTTTTTACTGTCTACTACTATGTCCCGAGCGGAAGGAATGAGAAGTCGGCTGTATCACCTCCTCTTTTCTCTAATCTAGAGAAATTTTCGTTTTTTGCTCAGCAAAATTCTAGCGTTTTATTCATTCTTTTGGCTCACCAATTCTCAAAAGAAGAAATTTAAAAAAACTCGTCTCTCCCCCGATTCTGACGATCTTGGGGGAAACGCCTGATTAATACTAAGATTCAAGCAAAACAAGAAAGAATCTAATAAAATATTATTCACCATGTTCTTTTGAATCTTTTTATTATTTAGATGAAACACTTTTCAGTCGTACCTTCAAAAATCAAATTTTAGCACTTAGGATTGATATTACTAGAAATGTAGAAGGATGTTTAACAGAAAAAATAATTATAGATATATTTTGAATACATTCACTAATCTACGATATTTGAATTGTGGTGCATCTTCAATTTATTATTCACGATTATCATTTGATATTTTACCTCCAATGTTTACTTCTTCGAATCTGTTAGAATTACATGTTGGTGTGAATTATTTTACCGATATCCTTTATCTATGGGATGGACGTTTCAATCAACTTCATACACTTTATGTTAATGTTTGTCAAATTCAATATCCAAATCTAATAATTGATAATACGGTAGATTATTTTTTAATTAATATCGAATTCATTAAGAAGAATTAATAATCTTGATTTTTAGAAAAAACGACCTAATTTAAAATGCTTTTCGCTTTACTGTATTACAGAAACGTATGCTTATGATGACTTAATTATACCACTTTTACATCGAATGTCGAATTTAGAAAAACTTTATTTGTATCTTTTTTGTGAAAGGGAAGTTTTTATTGATGGTAGTGAGATGAAGATAAATATTATTAATCATATGCCACGATTGAACACATTAACATTTAATATTCATTCATCAATTTATTTTAATAATCAAATTAATTTAAAATCAAATGGAGATATTCAAAAAACATTCAAAAATTTTAAAGATAATCAAATTATCTCTTGTGTTGATTATTTTCCAAAGGCAAAAAAATGTCAATGTCATATTTATTCATATCCATATAAATTGAAACATTACTATAATATAACAAATAATTTTCCAGGTGAAATATTTAAATATGTTCGTGAAATATCATTATTTGATGAACGTCCGTTTAAACATGAATTTTTTCTTCAAATTTCACAATCGTTTCCACTCTTGAAAAAATTAACTGTGATTAATGGAAAACAACAAAATAATAAACATTCTAGAGTATTAAAAAATGGCAAAGAAAATTTATCAATCATTAAATATCCTCATCTTACTCAACTTGATCTTACTCAAGTTCACAAAGATTATATTAGACAATTCTTATTAGATGCGAAAACATGTTTATCTAATAATGTTTATCTTCTTATCGATTATAGACTAACGAAAAAAGTAACACGTAATTTTACAAGAAATAGAACACGAAGTAATTGTGCAAAACTCAGTTACGTATTTTTCTCTAGAAGACTAGAATTTCCTGAACATTTAAAAGACTATTTTCCTTATGCAGAAATATTATGATTATTATTAATTTAACGGTTTGAAATAAAATTGATTAAAACTAGATTGGTTTAGATAAAATTACGGTATTAGAAAGGAGGGATGGAACTTATATATTTTAGGGAAAAAAACAAAAGAAAACTTACATTTAAAAAATAATAGTAGATATCGAAAGAAAATTCAAATATTATTGAGTGTCTTTATTGAAAGATTTACATGAGATAAAAAGAAAACAAATCATCTTGATTGACTAAAAATTGCTGATAAAAAGACTCAGAAATCAATATATTTTGTATATATTCTTATTTTTCAGTCAATATAGATAATTGAATATTCATATATAAAAGTCAGTAGCATAGTTAAGAATTTTTGTGTTGAAAGGAATTTCTCTATGAAAGTCTTTTGAGAAGTAGAGAGTCGTGGGTAAGTTGAAAAATTAACTGGAATTTAACTTTAAAATTTCCTATGTTCTATAAACCGATATTTCTCGAAGAGAAATTTTCAATATAAATAATTAAGAGAGATCATGCCTGCTTTCGTAGTGAGATTTTACAAATGTATTTTTTTTAGCTTTACAATGTCTAATCATCGTTTATACTATTTTTTTTTGTAGTAACACATTTTTATTAGGATAAAAAATTGCTGATCGTTGTATTTAAAGTTTTTGAAAAACTTTTTTATGTTCGTAATTGTCTCATCTCGGTCCTGTAAAGAACGCCAATGGTCGTCATACTCATGACTAATTATATTCACCAAACCTGAATAAAATAAACATTACTGTATGATATTCATTATTTTAAATGAGATCTAGTTTGAACTACTTCATGAGAAAGATTTTTCTGTGTCGCCATAGCATAAAATTCAGGTATTTTTTCAATTTGACTATTTAGTACTGGTAAATCCCATTTTTTGACGGACTTGAATTTGGTATAAAATTTGTTGTTGATGCCATGTGAAAGCACAGGGCTAATAAAATTTATGATGCCATATAATTTTAGCTTTACAATTAAATTGATGAGAAGACAATTAGCTTACCTGTAACACACGCCAAGATTGGACAAAATATCAAGAGAGAAAAAAATAAAAATAAGTGTAAAATAATGCGCTATACCATCAGAATTTACGATTAAAACCAAAAAAACAAAATGTTTCAAGACAAATATTAAAGAACGTCAATTTGTTTATTATCAGTTATAAAGGTTCAATGGTAATTTCACATAATAGTAATTCTTTTTAATTATGTAGCATCAGTATTTTATTAGTATGGGATCGAATGAACGTGACCTCTCCGAAATATCGAGTTCATTCTTTCTTCTGAACTTTGTAATTATTGTACTACGCGGTATGTGTCTGTATTCTCAAATTATAGACAATCGCCCTTCCAGAAGACAAAATTGTGTAGGGTTAATGCTATCCCTAGTCGAACATCTTGTAAGCAAGATCTTGGTCAAGATCTTAGGTACAGAAAAGTGAACAGATCTTGAAAATTTAGGTACAAGATCTTGAATTAGATCTTAGGTACAGATTCATAAGATCTTAGGTACAGTATTATAAGATATTAACTATACATCTGTAAGATCTTGAGTGAATACTAAGATAAAAAGTTTTGCAGGTCTCGTGATTTGCGACACAATCCCTGATACAATCTGAAAGCGTGGTTCAAACCTATTATATTGTATATTTTTTTTTCTGTAAAAGCATGTTATGAAATTTTTCCAATTTATCTTTATTTTAATCATTCCTATTCGGAATAATTGAAGCAAGTCTGATCTTGGAACCTGCCTGTTCTTAAAATGGTTCGATCACCATCAGACGGCTCCAGATAGCCCTCTCTCGATCTGCAATCGAGATCGGCATTTTCTCGAATGATTAATAGTCGAGAAACCGTTTATTAAAAAAATTATTTTGAAAAATATATGTTTCGTATGTTCAATCACGTTGTTTATATACGACTCTGCATGCAAAACAAAAACGGTGAATGACTAGTCAGCACATAAATACTAATGATATCGTTCTTTTACTCAAGATCTTAGACACAGATGTATCCGATGCGCGCAAGCTGTTCACATACAAATTATCTTTTTATGATCTGGTAAAGATCTTGCTGTGTCGATCCCAAGATTTCAAGATCTTGCTTGCAAGATGTTCGACTAGGGATGATGTCAGTGTGACACAATTTTTTATAATAGTACAATCGATTTCAGTAAACATATTGTTTATAATCTATTCTATACTTAAAATAGAATAAAAATCATTCTATATTTTTCATATAAGAATTACATTCGAAATGAAAGTTAACATGAATATGAAAGATATTCATTTGACTTCGATAGAAAATATATATATTAATTCCAAATAGACGTAAAGACTCTTTTACATGTTAATAATAGTCAAAATCATTTATTACCGAAGAATGTCAAAGTCAATATTCTTAATCTACAATTTCTATCAAAGGAAAAAATTTTATTGTTATTTTAAAACAAAAAAAAAATTCATCAACAAAACGGTTTAAAATTATAGTTCCTTAGCAAAATGTATTTCTTTTTCTTGCATTAAAATATTTTCAATATTATGTAAGGACTTGAAAGCAGAATGGTTGACTACGCGTTTGAACACTATTCATCAGTGACATCCATTGATTATTGCTCGCCATTCGTTGTGCGACAGCTGCGCCAGTGTATGTCTATTCGAAAAAAAAGAATCAGTCAAAGTAGTTAAGTCAATAGGTCATGCTCTACTCTTCTTTTCATATTTACTTACTCTAATACATACACAAAAAAAAACGAACGAATTTTTTCATATTCTTTTTATTTTATTAACAACATGCCGGGTCTTACAGACGAAATTTCAGCTGATATTCGCGATGGTAAAAATTCTTCAATAAATAAAATAAAAATATATCGTTATTATTAATTCGTTTTTTTTTTCAGTCTTTAGTTTATATGATGATCGTGGAGATGATCATATTCCAAAACATTATTTAGGCGAAGCTGTTCGAGCATTAGGACTTAATCCAACTGAAGCAGAAATACGTTTACTTCTTAGTGATCTTAATCGAGTTGAACGTTTATCAATGCAACAATTTCAAGTTATATTTGAACGTTTAAGTCGACAAAAAGAATGTGTTGCACCTGCAGATGAATTTGTTGATGGCTTACGTGTTTTTGATAAAGATGGAAATGGTTTAATACCAGCAACAGAATTACGTCATTTATTAACAACATTAGGTAGAAAAATATAAAAAATTAATTTTACGGAATTTTTTTTGCTTTCATATTTAGGTGAAAGATTAACAGATGATGAAGTTGAACAATTAATTTATGAATTTGAAGATAAACAAGGAATGATTGTTTATGAAGATTTTATTAAAGCTGTACTTCAACGTTAATGAATGAAAATAGACTTTAGTTTATTTCTTTTTTTTTTTTTTGTTTAAATCAGATATATATATACATAGATATTGTTAGTGTCAAATAATTCATTTCTTTTGTTTTCAGACAGACAGAAAAAAAAATCACACATTACAAATGTCTTTTGTTATTAATCGTGATTATATACGACTTTTAAAATTCTTCCATCCATTAAAATCTTCTAGATTAAACAAATATTCGAACGGTTTAACAACAAATATAAATAAAAAGAAAATGCGAGCTAAACTTGAAGGTAATGAACGAAATGATATATTGAAACAATTAGAAACAAATGGATGGACATTAGTTGATAATCGTGATGCTTTATCAAAAACATTTTTATTTAAAAACTTTAATCAAGCTTTTGGATTTATGACACGTGTTGCTTTATTAGCTGAAAAACTTGATCATCATCCAGAATGGTTTAATGTTTATAATAAAGTTCAAGTTACATTAACTACACATGATTTAAATGGTTTATCAACACATGATGCACAAATGGCTAAATTTATGGATAAATGTGTTTCGGAAACAACAGATCCTAAATAATCTTTTTCTATGGAAATTTATGCAAGAACTTTAGTCATGTGTTTGTTTTTGTGTATGGTATCAAGTCATTTTTATTCCAATAATAAAGATTGGTGATAGATGGTGTATTGACTTTAAATTCTTATGTATTCTTTCTAATTTATTAGAATTGAAAATCCAAAATAAGATTAAGTTTGTTGAATGTTAACACAAAGATACCACACTGTATTTATCTTCTCGATTGTCATCATACTATATCTCTGAACAGAAAGCTCGCCTAACGCAAAGTTCTTCTTGCTTACTGAGCTTTTCGAGAAAATATATCACGAGAATAAATTGAAGCAACAAATGAATTAATTATCAACTCTTTATTTTCATCGTATAGTTAAATGATATTCGATTAAAATTTTATTATTTCCTTGAGTTTTACAATTTAATATTTTTGTGAAATATATTATTGCTATAACAAGAATAGATATTTCCTTCGCAATAGCTAAAATGTAATTCTATTTCTTAAAAAAAAAAACTAATATAGCATTTATTAGGTTGTGGTGACCATAGTATTGAACATATTTTTAAGCTAAGGATGAAATCCGATAAAAATACTTTAATATTATAATACTATTTTTGAAGATCGACATGATATAAATTCGAAAAGGAAAGGTATAATTCGAGAAGAATTTCATTTACAATTAATGTTTTGTATAGCTAAAATGTTGTGAATTAGTCTATCGATTTTTTTTAAAATTCGTTATAAAAGCAAAAGAACTTTTTTGTGATAAACATTGAACTATAATTTTTTTTCTAATCATTATGTACAATTGATATACATTGATTTCGTTTTATTGTTGATGGTGGTATATCACATTTTCATAATGAATCCCGAAATATGTAGATATTCTTATAATTAAAAACAAAATAATCTGATTTTAAAATTTATCTACTTTCACAATATCATATATTCATACAAACATAAATCCAATTAAGTCAAACTCGAGAAAGATTCACTGTGTAAATATTATTTCGACAATGATGAATATCTAAAACTGAAGTGTAAACTAAATTATAATGAGTATAGTATAA